AGCATGGCCTTCTAGTCTTTTTCAGTCATGTCAGAATGGAGAATGCAGCCAGGACTTGAATGTAGCAGAGACACACAGCCCAGGGCAGTTTTGCTACAGGATGAATCCCCAGTTCTCTGTCACCAGACCCAGGTGTGCTGGGAAGCACAGAGTCATCTCACCCTACCCCAAGCAACACATCTGTTCTTTTCTGAACTAGACCAAACTATTTCAGTCAGTGCACAAGGACTCTTCAGAAAGTACCTCAGAAAAATTCTAGCTACAAACTGTTTATGGCTTTGCTAAGACCCCCCATGCAGAGCATGGGGTAGAACTCTGAGAAACTTTTTTATAAATAAACCCTTGACAGCAGTGATTGGGAAACACTGCTTAACTGTCCACAATCCTTTCATGGCCTAAACCTTTGAGTCCTGCATCATTTTTTTCTAAGATCAAGTAATCAAGATGTCATACACAGCACGCACCTCTGATCCCATACTGGGAAAACTACTGCCTCCTCTCACCACATGGATGCAGACTGTTACACATCCATCAACACACACTGTAGACAGTACCATTATGCTTATCTGCAAGTTTGCTGTACCTACAGAAGGGCATCCTTATGGGACACTGTTCACTCATTGCTTTTCTCTGCAGAAGGGAGGCTTGTATTTATTTAGGCAAATCCTTGGTACTCATCGCTAGGAGAAGAGCATTCAATCCTTGCTTTATTGTTCTAGCTGCTATTATTTCACTGTTATTATGCATAGGTTTGGTAAAAGCCATCAGAATCCCTCATTCTGTTGTGTCATGGTGATACTAGAGCATCTTCATACATCTCAATATAAATTGTTCCCAGTAAATTGAAAAAAGACCAGCTGCAATAAGATACAGGCTGAATCAGGATGTCAGAGATTTTTGCATAGGTATAAACTGTAAGTAATCCCCCTCACCATGTAACACACACACACACACACACACACAAAAGTCTATTGTCCATAATGTGCCAACATACAGAGGAAATAAACTTTGAATTTATCGAATTTTCTTTCTGTTACGAGAAGGTTGAAGGCATGACATTGACATTGATCAGACAAAAATTTACCACCTTATGTCTATGTAACATGTTTGCAACAAATCTGCTCTTGAGCTGTATAAATTTAGGAGGATTTATAGACAATGATAGAGATGACATGATGAGCATACAGAAACTTTTGGTAGAATAACCAGTAGCTAGAGAACCTTGTTAAAGGAGATTGTAAGCTAGCATGTGGACAGCTTATAAGAGTAGCTCCTGTACAGCACAGGAGCCAGGCTGCTATCTAAAATGCTTCAGAGGTCCACACACAAAGATGCAGCATATTCCCACTCATACATGACTAGTTTTTTATGGAAACACAGCATAATTATGGGGAAGGAGACACTGTTTCATTAATGACTTAACCCCTAGTAGGACCTTGTCTGTTAGCTAAGTTGGAATAATAAAATAATGTATATTTTTATATGTTTTCCTAGATTCATACACTAATTTCTTTGAACTAAACAGTTAATTCAGTACTAGTGTTTAATTTAAGCCATGGTTTCCTACATGAAGCCTCCTTGGATTTTTCCATTACAGTTCTGAATGCTTTTCTATTACTTTGAGCATCTAAACAGCAGCGCTAATTACTTTAATTAAATGTAATCAGACATTAATATTGCACAATATCCCCATCCACTAGTTAACTTAGGTGTGCAGTCTTAGGTCAGTCATCCTTAATTAACCTTAGGTTGAAGCATAAGCCAAGTCACTGTGATCACTGGGATAAATTTAACATTGCTGCACTTTCTTCTTGTCTATGCATATATAACAGGGCTAGCAACAAGCATGTATTGGAGATTCTTAAGCACGAGCTTCCTAGGCATTTAGAAAGAAATCAAAGATTGCAACACAGACTTACGTGTCTGGGTGACAAGCCTAACCTTTGCAGTGCAGCATCACAATGCTGGAGCTCCACCTTCTTGACTTTCCAGTGGTGGGCTGAAGTGACAGGCATTGCACAGAATGCAAGGTTTCCCTGTCAAAAACAGAAATAACATTATAAAACATCCCCTCATAGCAGCTATTTTCCAGTGCAGCTTTTCTAGGACAATTCCAGTTACATCATAAATTCTTTAAGTAATATGAACTTGAAGATAATGGACTGCCCTGTTCAGCTTGCCATCTTATTGCACTTACCATGTCTAGTTTGTTTGTTTATTTTGAAAAAGCTTGGTAAAGAATTGTTTTTACCAATACCAAGAGTATTTCTGCCCAGAAGATTTTTTTAGTAATACTAGAAACCATTCAAGCAACAGATTTCCCTTTTAATATTTTCCCTCTTGAACCTACAGCTCAATAGGGTTTTTTTGGTGGGTTTCGGGGGGTTTTTTTGTTTGTTTGTTTTTTACATAACAACACAGAGGGATTTATCAAGGGAAACCAGGCTATCTCAATTAACCTAAACTTTTATTTTAGATCTCTGCATAAAGAGGGATTTTCTCTCCAACAAGAACTGAAGTGATATATTATGGTATTTCTTTTAAGAAAAAGCACAAATAATTAATTTTTAATTGCACTACACTTATTCAATTTAAAAGCATTAGCACTATCATTTAGCATACTCTGGGAACTTCTATAGTCTTGTAAGTCTCCAGTGGAAGTCGGATTTGACTGGTAGGGTAAACAGAGGAGCCAAATAAATTTTTAAGACCATACTGCCTGTTCATTTTTCTGATCACGCAAAGCTTCACTTATTTTAAAGGCCTTCCATCTGACTTTCTATGGGGTGGTCACACACAGAGTTTATTATTCAAATAAAAGATTAATGACATAATTTGATGTGGGCATCTGCACTCCTAGCCATTTTGGGTGCTATTCCCTGATCTTTCCTTTCTCAGAGCCATAGAGCACTACACTAGCATCCCTCCTTACAGATTTTGTGCAGTACATACTAAGAGTAGTTATCCATTTTGGGCTTTGCATGTGAGCTGATTTGATTATCCATATCAGGTGTTAAGAAAAAAAATACTTCACAAGTGAATTTAAGGTAGTAGTAGCGCATGTTCAGTTCAAAACTGTATGCAAGGAAGCTAAGCTTTGGTAGTTGTAACATGTCAGTTATGGCTGTACCACTTGGATCCCTTCAGGGCTGTTTGAGCTCACCTACCTATGTAGCACCTGTAGATGCACAGGCAGGCTAGCACAAAGGAAGAAAAAGCTTCAGCTGAAAATTGAGCTCTCAGTTATTTTGTAATAAAAGTAACATCTGTGGACAATAGCTTATGAACTACTGGAATAGACAGATACTCAACAACTCCAAAACACTTTCCATCACTTCTGTGTAGATACTCATGCTAAGTTTCACTGTGCAAGCAATAGCCTAAAAAGAACCCTAACATTTATTTACTTTTGTAGAAAAATTACATGAAGCAATGTATTAAGCCAACCAAAGTTTTACACCTAAGGACACTCAAACTTCAAGGGCAAAAAGAACTGAGCTATTCTATAAAACATGATAGAAAAACACTTACTAAGATCAGCCATTTTTGTAAGGCTACTCTACTCAGAAGGTATTTTCCAGCTGTCTCCCCTTCAAGGAATATCTTCCCAATGGATTAAGTCTATTACAAATCTTAGGTTCAAAACCAGCCCAAACCCTACACGACTCCCACTAGAGAAGCCAAAAACTGCAAGCAGAAGCAAGCATTCACACTACAAAATTCTGCATACAACTAACTACAGCAACCGAAAAGCCTTTTATAAGCAGCTGATGGGTGATTTATTTTTTTTTCAGCTCCACCCTCTGGGCAAAACACCTGGGCTCCCACCCCAAGGGCTCAGCCACATCCTCCTTCCCCCAGTCTGGGTTTGTAGACTTTTGCCACACGCAGTTTGTAGATTAGAAGAATGCTTTGAGGCTCAAGGGTTAGGAAAACTTTTAACAACATGTAAAAAGAAAAAATAAAGCCAAAAAAGCCATCAACGTTTGCACCTGTGAAATTTCCACCTGCTACACAAAACTGCAGAATAATTCTGATAAAGTAAAAGTTGCCTTATAGACTTTAGACGGGGACAAAGTGTGCAGACACAAATCTAAATGTGTCCTTTGTGTATCTTATTAGTTGTTCTTTACTCATTTACTCAGAAATTTTTTCAGCACTCAAAGAGAAGTTCAGGGTGACCTTGTCCATAAATTGCAGATTAGATGCAATACGACCTTCAACCTGCAGCTACCCGATAAGAAGCAGTATATAGTTACATCACACTTTTTTCCAATTAGGGGTACAGAAAGTAACTCAGCTTGTCAAAAATCAGGGGTTCCTCCATGTTCCAAGCCATTGCACATATAGGGAAGGAGCTATCCTTCTTCACCACCAGAGTGAAGAAGTTGGCATTTCCAACAAGATTTTTTTTAGATCAAAACTTTGACTAAAGAAAGGTTTGGCTGAATGGAACAGAAATTAGTAGAACCTGTCTAGAGAGCAGGCTTGTTCTCTGGGATCACAATGTGTGAGTTTCTCTTATAATAATTCTGTGTTTTTTAATGAATTCTTATAAATCTTAAGACTTTTTAAAAAATTGTGTAGAATGGAATTGTTTCAGTCCAAGAACACATTAAATGTATGCAAAATTATCATAAGAACTAATGAGTCACATTCCTATTGCTCAGTAAATATCCCGTAATACTAACAGCAAAGGAACTATTTATAATTGCATCTGGGATCCTTTAAATGATAATGGCATCTAGGTACCTTTAAAAGAAAAGAAAAAAAAACAACCAAACCAACCTTCTTTCCTGATACAAAACTCTATGAAACAATGTTTTGGTCTTTGTGTATGCAGTTTTAAATTTCAAGTGCTAGATGAATTTGCCTGTTTTCAGTTTCAGCGTGTGTGTGCAGACAATATGACAAGTTTAATTATCTGGCTATCTGCCCTGCATGTGTTTTTCTAGTCTTTCCAGACTTTTCTTAAACTTGCACTTTTTTATATTTTGCAGTTCCCTCCTTTTGGGGTTTGGTGAACTCAGCTTGGAATCTTTGCTCTGTTGGGAAAAGACAGTCACCTGTCAATATTGAAACCAGCCATATGATTTTTGATCCCTTCTTAACTCCACTTCGCATAAACACAGGGGGAAGAAAGGTATGTGTATATCATGTTCTTGTATAAAAACATGAAGTTAGTAGACTTACAAACATTTGTTATATTTTATATTTCTAAAGCATTTACACTTTTATCTCAGTCAGCTCTGAGGCAGAATAACAACATAGTGCTTTGCAAATCACACAATTTCATCTCTGCTGGAGAGGTAGCAATTGTACATTTTTAGGTGTCTTCTAGCACATATTTGTATTTTTATATTAACTGTTACTTGAAACTCTACAGTCTGGAAAAACAGCATCTCTCTTAGAAACTCCACACTTATAATTAAACTTTGTGTTCATCTTGAGTGGCTTTTTGAAGGCGCTATTCTAAAAGTGGTGGTTAAGATGGCCAAGTCCTTTTAGTCATCTAAATCAGGATAACATTGCAGTGTCATCATGTTAAGGGGTAGGAAGGGATGAATGAGGTTCTTTAAGTTACAAAATAAAAGGAACTACGAGGTACATATCTCAGCATGGGACAGGCAGATAGATGTCTTCAAAAAATAATCTGGTTTCTGTGTTATCTAGAGTATATTGGCACTCATTATAAGATTTATTTTATTGGACATTTCCTCACATGTATTAATTTGAAAACAGAATGGCAACATTTATTTTAATAGATCATAAGTAAATCTCCAAGGATATTGGATCAGGTGGAAATGATAGGTTAGCGAAGACTATTTTACTCATCTAACATCAGCATGATAATTTCTTTTTGAAAAGTGACTGCCACAGCTGACTAGTTTATTAACCACTATTCTTGACCAAAAATATTTTTTTAATTATATATATAGAAACCTTATCTTGTTTACACAGATTCGGAAAGTATATCTTAATAAACTGAGGTATGAAAACAAAGTCATTATGGGTTAGATAATATGTCTACCTGTGGCTCAGGAACCTCGACTTCCAGGCTAGTCCACATAGCTTAAAGGTGGAGGCAGGAAACAATCTTGACAAAATGATGCTCTGCAAATGGGTGGAGATTGTTGTCTGAGGTATGTGTACATATAGAAATACTGCCAATAGATGCTAATCAGTGATCATATCCTCCATTTTTTTTATACTATATCTGACTTATGTTAGGAGCTAAAATTTGGACAAAGTTTTTATTGTAGTAAAAAGTTTAAGTTCAGTAAAAGTTTCTACAAGTTTTTGCAACTCAGATGTTGAAGCATTGTGCTAATGCATGCATATAAGTCAAAATAATTCACAAGAAATTATTTATGGTGATGAATTTGAAAAACACTCAAGCATGTGCATTTGTGCTTGCTGACCCAGTGCTCAGAAACAGAATTGAAGCTGTTATATATCAGTGTATACAGTGAAAAAAATGCAGAATGTTAACAAATCTAAACAATGAAAGCAAATTTGGATCCCAAGCATGTTTCACTTTTAATAATCTCATGCTCATATCAATAGCGTAGTTAGCGACATTTTACATACATAGGTCTTAAAAGTATTTCCCACATTGCCAAGGTTACATGCTAACTCATTCTTTCCATTTATGTTTACTAAAATAATTATACTTACTAAAAATTAGGAGTACCGACAAATTTCAGAGTGCAGCAGCAAAAAAAATTTCTGAGATCTACTTGGTTCCTAAATTACCATTCAAAGAGAGGCAGTCATTTGAAAGCATTTCAAAAAACAAACTGATCCTAATGATTATGCTTAATGATTTTTCTTTCACTAAAGAATGTATTTACAGTACGGAAGTGTAAGCCTCAAATAACTAAGTTATCAGTTCTGTTTATCCAACTGAAGGGTTGATACTTTTCAATTCTAAAATTATTTTATAAATAAAACATCTTGAACCTGTTAGCACTCTTGGAAATAGTCATTAGTTCATAATGTTTTTGTGTTGCTTCCCTTATGTGCGGGTGCATAAGAGGGTATTTTAAAGACTTGGTTGCTTATTCCATGCAGGCAGTTCTCTTCTATTCAATCCGCAATACAGAACAATGCAGATGAAAAGGCATTGTGACTTACAATGTCAGAACAAGCAGAGACTCTAACAAAAGGTTATTCCAAAATGATTTATCTTCTCCTGTTGTCTTGACAAATGAGATTTCTGCTGTAAACAGCATGAGATGTTAGGAATTTACTCTGTACTTCCCATTGAGGTTCTGGTGGTACATGTGCACATACATCAGAATCGATGTAAGCTTCATCACAGAAATGATAAAATGGTGGTATTGTTACTTACTGAAGGACAGTAATACTTCCAACTATAGCCCAAATTGCAGGGCAATATGTACATTTTGCTTTTTAAACAGAAATGCATTGAGGTTTTTCATTTTGAAACAACAAAAAAATATATTGTCTCTGCTATTTATGTAAAGGCTGACATATTTCAGTTTATTTATAAATTACAGTATGACATAATATGAAAGTCAAGAACAAAATTACATGGAAGTTATCAGTAAGTCAAAGCCAGGAGTTTCGGAATATTTAATGTCTTTAGCAATTCTAAGAATTCAGCTGGTTTTTTGTACCAGCTCAGGGTGAAGCAAATGTCTGATTATTAATAACATATCAGAGGCACTGATAACCTAGGAGATGCTATATCAGTAATGAGGTATTCTTACCACACTCGCAAATATTATCCTGCTGCTATCAAACAGTGATGGCCGTCCATCATGTTACAAGAACAGGATTTGTTCTGGTTGTGGTCTGTTTTAGAGAGGTTTCTAAAATGGTTGAATGAAAATTCTTCTTTGAGGAAAAGATTGCAATTTTAATGCCTTAAAAAAATGCTTTGCTCATAGTTAAGGCTTCAGTGAGGATTTGATTTGGCAGGTAGTATATTTGTGTTCACTTTTTTGGTAATGTTTTTTATATGTTAAAAATGGAGGTGTGTTTCATGTGGGCTGAAGCACTTCAGTTTCCAGGGCAATGAACCAATTGATATAGCAGCCAGGGAATTTCTTAGACAAGACTTAGCTGTGATTATGCTGTACACAAAAAGATTTTATGGAACTGATCCTAAGAAAAATTATGAATAAATAAAAAAGGGATTTGATGTGGTTTCAAATCAAAGTTATAATAAGCTAACTTACATGCATAGTGAACAAGAGAGACAACTAGTTGCACACAGAGTCAAAAATATACACCTCTCTTGAAAAGGGAGCTGGGAGGAGAGACAAGGCTTAAGAGAGAGCTAGATGGAAAGAAACATTCAGTACAGTTAGTCTTGGAACAGTAACTTCAAATTTTTAACAAAATTTTTTGCTTTGAAAGTAGAAATCAGTTTTATTTGAGTTTGAAAACTCAAATATTTATTTGATTTTGAAAATAACATTTCTACTGTGTGTGCTTCACTTCTGAAAATAACTTAAGAAGGAACAGAAGTGGTTCACCCACAGGAACAGAATCCAAGAATAGAGAAATTAAAATAATACATACCTGGGTGATATGATCACAGACTTAATACTTCCTCTTAACTCTTTCATTCCTTACCATGCGTTTCTTCAGGGCCTTTATTTTTTGGGGGTGGGGAGCATTGCTTAATTTCTGTGAACCTGTTTAGTTCTCAATTTCCAGCTCAGGAGACCAAAACTGTTCCAAACCATTCCATTACAGAATTTATGACTAAAGATTCCACCTTATGTACATGCCTTTCTAGCTGATTCCATTAGAGAATTTATTTTCTTTCAGTATGAGTAATGGAAGGCATTTTAGGAAACCAGGCTGAGATTTTCCTACAATTTTTTAGACCACTTGGGAATAAGATAATAATTTTCTTGTTTCTGAAGAAAAGGAATGGTCTGAAAGGAGAGTATGAAGGACAACATCACTGTCTTCCTACCCTGCAGCCTCCAAGGGGAGAAAAGTACAGTCTGTGGGCTGTCACACGGTGGGTGACTTAATAGTTACTTCCACTCTGAGGCTGAGAAGAAAATTCTTCCCATTCCACTGAGGAGCAAAAGGGATGGCAATGCAATTTGCCAAATATTTATACCTCTTTGATCCACTTTTTCACAATAAAGTTCCAGTGAGCAATAATATATTGCTTTATGTGCTGTCCAACGATTGCAGTGCGGTATTGGGTCATGCAATTTACAATTCAAGCATCATCAGATGTTATTCTGATTCGCGCTGTGTTATTTTGCATGTTTGTGCTTCTCTCTTTCCTGAGAAAGTGGCTTTTCAGGTCCTGAAGGCTGAATATCATTGATACAGATAGTTGGATTTCAAGATCCAGAATCTCAGCACAAGATATTTAATAAGTTTACATGCAGATAAATTGCCCAGAAGAAATGCTGCTTTTGAGGAAACTCCCCAAGTTTCAGTTCTCTTTCAGGCCCAGCTTTGTCTCTTGATTATCCATTTTAGTGAGTTCAACATGCAGCTGATTTCAGATAAACAGCCTTTTTTAATAAACAATACAAATGCTTATTAATATGCAAATCACAGTCCTCCACTCCATCACAAAGAAAAACACCTTTTTACTTTCTCTGCTTTTTTTCTTTGGATTCACATAAGCACCAAGGCAATCAGCAACAGGACAAAAGAATAACTTTACTGACGAGCCAGTGTAGTCTAGTGACATTTAGGCAGCAAGCACTATGGGTTTCAGTCTCCAAAGCAGGGATTTCTGGACTGTCATGGATGATAGTGGATGAGCAAACCACCTCACTTCTCAATGAGCTAGTCTGTTGGGATTCCTTCTTCCATTCACCAGTGCTGGCAGTCTGTCTTCTCCGGCAGCTCTGCCTTTGGGCCCCGGTTGTGGTTTAGCCCCAGCCAGCAACTAAGCACCACACAGCCGCTCACTTACTCCCTCACCCACCCTCGTGGGATGGGGAAGAGAATTGGAGAAAAAAAAAAAAAAAAGTAAAACTTGTGGGTTGAGATAAGAATGGTTTAATAATAGAAATAAAATTTTAACATATAATAATAACAACAACAATAACAGTAATAATAATAATAGTAATTAAAAGGGAGGCAACAAAAAGAGAGAGAAATAAAACCCAGGAAAGACAAGTGATGCAC